TATACCGCGTATTGGTCTAGTGTAGACAAAACCGAACGGGCATGCCAGGGAGTCGGTTTTATCCTTTCAGAAAGAATGGGTCAATGTGTGCAAGAGAATGAATGTGTAAGCCCGAGGCTGCTATGGATACGAATGAAAGTGGGCTTAAAGAAACTGTTCCTGCTAGGGGTGTACGCCCCAGACATGTCTAAGCCCACTTACATCCGAGAGCAGTTTTGGGACATGGTAAGGATGGTGTTGACAAAATGTAAGGAAAATGAAAATATTATTATGTTAGGAGACTTTAATGGAAGGGTTGGGGTGAAGAGAGTGTGGTTATGAAAGGATATTGGGAACGGAAAAGGATTTGGTGATGAAAGTATAAATGAGAATGGTGAAAACCTCTTCACCGTATGTGTGGAAAAGAAAATCATAGATACAAGGGTTTTCCGGGGGTCCGACGTAGGGACGGATCATTACTTGGACTTATGTCGAATTAATGGTCTTTTCAAGTGTTGGCGGCATCGGACATCTGTGTCTACTACTGCGTTACAGCGTATAAGAATAGAGAAGTTACAAGATGAAGATGTGAAAGAGAAGTATAAATATAGACTGAGAGAAAATAGTGTTTGAATGAGTTGTGTATGAATGATTTAGACTTGAATACTGTGTGGGATAATATTAAAAAAGGTTTGGTGGATGCAGCCACCGAAGTATGTAGGGTAAGTAAGAGAACAAATGAAAGGAAAAGTAATACGTTGTGGTGGGATGATGAGGTACGGGTGGAAGTTGAATCAAAGAAGAAAGCATTGTTAGATTTACTAGCAAACAAAGCTGGTAATTCTCCTGGTATGAATGATGAGATTGAAAGAAAAAAGGCAGAATTTAGACGTCTAAATAAGAGCGTAAAAGAAGTAGTTGAAAGGAAAAAGAAAGAAAGAACGGATAAGAATGATAGAAGGATATCTGATAATTTCCAGGCTAATATAAAAATGTTCTGGAAACTCGTAAGAACTGCCAGGGGTAATAAAAAACAGCCTATAATCAATGCTATAAGAGACGAGAACGGATGTATTCTGAATGATGAAGTTTCGAATTTAAACAGATGGAAGGAATACTTTGAAAGCGTGTTTATTAGTGAAAAATCGTCTGAATTAAATGAACTAGAAATTCCGAAAAGAAGTGGAAAGGGGTATGGAGATAAGTGCAGATGAAATAATGAAAGCAATGAAAAGCAGGTAAGGCAGCTGGATGTGATAGAGTATCACTCGAGGTGCTAAGGGCTGGAGAGGGAGTGGTGGCGGGCCTGCTGTACACCTTGTTTAATTTATATTGGGAATTAAAACGCGTACCGGATGACTGGTGTAAAGCAGTTATAGTACCAATGTATAAAGGAAAAGGGTCACAGCAGGACTGCAAAAACTACCGTGGTATCAGCTTGCTTAGTATTGCGGGTAAACTGTATGCTAAGGTGTTAATTGAAAGAGTTATGAAAGAAACTGATGGAAAAAATTGGGATGTACAAGCGGGTTTTAGAAAGGGAATGGGGTGTACAGATCGAGTCTTTTCCATGCGCATGATTGCGGAGAAGTTTTTGGCCAATAACCAGAAATTTTTTTATGCGTTCATGGACTTGCAAAAGGCTTATGACGGAGCAGACAGGAATGTGTTATGGCAAACACTGAACTCATATGGGTTGAGGGCTGGTTTGATACAGGCATTAAGGTCTCTTCATAGGGACTCTAGTGCTTGTGTCAGGATCAATGGGGTCTACTTGGACTGGTTTGGCATCCAAAAAGGTGTCAGACAGGGCTGTGTAGCTTCCCCTTGGCTGTTCAGCCTATTTATGGACAGGTGTTTACAAACTTTGAAAAATGAAGAATGTGGGTTAAGAATGGGCGAGTTAACCGTCAAATGCCTTTTGTATGCCGATGATCAAGTCATATTTGTGTCACCGGCGGCTGAGTTGCAAATGATGGTTACATTAATGAACTGGGAATTAAAAGAAAGGGGAATGAAAGTGAACGCAAGTAAGACGAAAGTGATGGTTTTTGAAAGAGAAGAAAGCAAAACGGTATGTGAAATAAGAATAGAAGGAGAGTTAATTGAGCAAGTGGATGAGTTTGTGTATTTGGGATGTGCATTTAGCAGGGATGGTAAATATGATAAGGATGTAGAACGAGTACATGCAGGGAATAGAGTGAATGGGACACTACACTCTATTATGAAGTATCAGAATGTGTCAAAAAGGCATATATGGTAATTCATAATGCTGTGTTAGTCCCTACTTTAATGTATGGTAGTGAAAGCTGAGTGTGGTAGAAGAAGCACGAAAGTGGAATAAATGCTGTAAAAATGCGGTCTTTAAGGAGTATGCTAGCGTTGACTCTGAATGACACGGTGAGAAATTGCGTGATAAGAGATAAATGTGCTATGCAAATGATGTTGTGACCAGGAAGAAAGGAATGCTTCGCTGGTTTGGTCATGTAGAAAGAATGAATGAGGAAAGAGTGACAAAGCAAATTTATATGCAGACGTGAATGGCAGAGTCGGGAAGGGACGCTCCAGAAAAAAGTTTATCGACCAAATTGGCGATATTTTGTAAATGGGCCACATTAGAAGTACCCTTAACCGACGAGCATGTACGCGTAGATATATGGATGTAAAGTAGGCGAAAAAGGTATGTCAGGATCGTGCGAAATGGAAGTCCGTAGTCTCTGCCTACCCCTCTGGGTGACAGGCGTGAGTGTTTATGTATTTGTATGTATGTCTTATCTAGATCAGTCCCCATAAAAACAGGCTAGGCATCCACCTGTTCCGTTAGGAAAAGTTTCTGCCTTAATCGCTACTCTTAGTTGGCCAGTTGTTGGTTATTGACAATATATTCAAAGAAAATAATATATTTAACAGAATAAAAATATATTACAAATTAAACTAACCTTAACAAAAGTAAGCTTCAAAAATAGTAAATAATTTACTTTAAAAATTTTAAGTTTGTAATTAATGTGTTGTTTTATTTACTCAGGATGTTTTTAAACTGAATAAAACTTAAAAAAGCTCATTTTTGATTGCTAACTGAACTTAAGATTACAATGCTATGGAATAATTTGCCGTTATCAGCAAGACGCGCTAAATCTCTACCGGTTTTTAAAAAAACACGTACATGATTACTACTTTCACATCAGATTATATCGAATTCATTTCTATATAATTATTTAATATTATTTACACTCATCATCATCATCATCATTACAGCCCTTCACAAGACCACTGCTGGACATAGGCCTCCCCCAAGGTATGCCACAAAGCACGGTCCTGAGCTACCTGCATCCATCGACTTTTTGAATGTGTTACCAGGTCGTCACTGCATCTAGTGGGGGCGTCCTCATACGGCTAGCAGTGAAGGACCATGTCTTAGTTCCATAGGTCATCACTGGCGACACGCACTGGTTGTACAATTTAGTTTTCAGGTTTTGAGGTATACCTGACGAGAAAATGTGTCGTAATTTCTCGAAAGCTGCCCAGCCGAGTTGAATCCGTCGATTGACCTCTCGGTCGAAGTTGGACTTACCGAGTCCGACTATTTGTCCCAGGTAAAAGTACTCGTCAACAACTCCGAGCTTAGCGCTCCCAACAACTACCGGCATAGGTGTAACATGGACATTAAACATGATCTTTATTTTATCCATATTCATCTTAAGACCTATCCGTTGGGAGATACTATTGCGTTCATTGAGCATAGTGCTTAGGTCCTCCAGCGATTCTGCCACAAGGACTATATCGTCTGCAAATTAAAGGTGAGTGATCTACTCGCAATTGATGTTAATATCGCATCCTTTCCAGCTCAGAAGCTTAAAACGTCTTCAAATGGAACGAAGAGTTTCGGGAATATAACGTTACACCTCTCTGCAGTTGGATAGGTTTCGTACTCTGGTTTAGTTACACTATTTGTTTATAATTAATTCACTTTCTTTTTTCTTTTTATTCATTAAATTTCACAGTACGCGAATAACCTGGGTTAGATAACCACCGGCTCCAATGAAATTGTTAATTGCAATTTAAAAGCTTAAGAAAAGCTCATAGATAGCTTGAGATTAGCTTTATTATACATTATATTCTTCTTCTTTGTCAGCTCGTAACAGTCTACTGCTAGAAATCGCCCTGTTCTATTATACGTATAAAAATATATAATGAAATGTTATATTAATGACGAAAACATGTTAGCGATACCTTGTGCGTTGTTTTCGTTTTCGGTTTTAATACAATGTTTAAAAATAAAATAAACTTTTTAATAAAGCTTTCATTTATAAACATACATCTTTACAAAATATAGAAAACAATAATTACAAAATTTAAATTAAAAAATTATCATTATGTACTTCACATTAAGACATTTAATGATTTCTTATATTTACGCGAACACTACACATTAAATACAACTACTTTTACGGATTTTATCGCGTTTAATTTAATAGATTTTAATTCCCTATGTTTCGGGTACTTTCCAGCACTCATGGAGGAGGACTGAGTTAATTGACATCCCGATGTCGGAGATAACTATGAGTTTTCTCCTCCTTCAGCTTTTTAATTATTTCTTTTGGTCCCATCTACTCAGAATGAACTTACTGTCTTGAAGTCTTGCAGTGATAACGATGAACAAGAGTAACGTCACGGACGCCCGTCCTGAGATATATAGTTAGTGAGTCGGAAGAGTTTATGTAAATTTAAAATTATTTGGACGTTGTTTAAGTTAGAATTTTTGTGCAAAAGTTAAACATCTGTGTACTGCGAACCTTATATGGTGTGGATACATTAGAGTGTTTAGTGATTAGTGAATAAATAGTAAAAAAAACAACATTTACATATTAAAAACATTTTATTTTTAAATGTCATCGAATAAAATTTAATAACATAATAACGTCATATAGTACTGATCAACACAGCTCCATCTCACGCTTCCGTTGTTATAAATCAACGCATAATTTTGCTTTATCAACTACTCGTATTAAAACTTATTGATCATGGCAGTTAAGTGCAGTGCGTGCGGTAAATATATGTATCCGCAAGATGGCGCTAATGTTACTTGTACAAAGTGCAATAAACAGCTACATCGTGCGTGTGTAGGCATCCCAGTGGGCGCTTCACTAATGCCATCCTGGGCTTGCCCTGAATGCAAATTGAAAGAAAAACGTTGCAACAAGGACACTACGCCGATAAAACCCGCAACAATTACTGTTGCTAATTCGAGTGAGGTTTCAAACCTCGGAGAGGAATTGCGATGTTTCCGAGAAGAAATGCGCCAAACCCGCGAAGAATTTCGGGCATTCAGAGAAGAACTTCAGGACATAAGAAACCTTGTCAGCAAATGCGATGCTCGTTTAGATAAGCTCGAGAACACGGTCCAAACTATCCTGGAATCACAAGAGCAATATGGCTCTCAAGGATTCAAAATTGAAATCCTAAAACTCGAGTCGACCGTCAATCAGCTGCAAGCCGACTTAAACGATAGGGATCAGGAGTTGCTTGCAAATGACGTCGAATTAAGTGGCATTCCAGAGGAGAGTACCCAACACACTTGGTTCTATCAGTTGTGACCAAGCTTGGTGTTCATTTGGAGGAAAAGGAACTGGTCCATTGTATGCGAGTGGAGGGCGGCCGCCAGGATGCCACGTCTCGTCCGCGGCCCATCGCCGTGCGGCTGGCGCGGCGCGACGTGCGTAACGACGTGCTGCGTGCTTCCCGCGTCCGCCTGTCTCTAATAACCGAGGCTCTAGGTCTTAAGTCCGCACCCTGCAATATCTATATAAACGAACGACTGACTAAAACAAATAGACAGTTGTTTCGCATGGCACGCGAGACAGGCCGCAAGCAGGGATGGCGATATGTTTGGACGAAGGGAGGCCGAATCTTTGCACGTCGGGAAGCAGGAGCTCCAATAAATCGCATTCGCTTTAACGCGGATATTGCTAAGGTTTTTGGGTCCGAATTTGTTCGATCACCATAACTGTCTCTCAGTTTACCTACAAAAATGAATTAGTGCTTTTAATTTCTTTATTTAATTTTGTAACTATTTACTATCGTCAAGTGTTTTGTGGGTACTCGTAACATAGATATTAATAAGATTTATTTACAACTTCGAAATAATACGAAATTCCATTTAAAAAAATATATAGTTCAAGTTATCGTAATAAGCTATTTGTATTTCCATTTACAGTCATAAAATATTTGCTACCCATATACATTATTTGTTATAGTCTTTTGAATTTTATTAGTGCATCATTTGTTATTAACTGTTTACCAAACAAAGTAAATGTCTTTTTACATTACTCAGACTTTATAAAGCTTGACGCTCATTGTTGTTGTTATTATGTGTGTAGTAGGACAATGTCTACAGGGCCGATACGTAAGTATATTTATGTTAATTCCTTTATAAGACATTTAAATGTAAGAAAATATGTATATCCCCTAAATCCTACCCATTATAATTATTTGGTAAATTCAGTTAACATTCTTATGATATCACAAACCTACAACAACATAAATAGAGTAATGAAACAAGCTCAGAGTAGGAACAATTATTGTGAGTATTACTCTGATATTTGTTGGTCAAAGATGTCAATTGTGAATATACTTTTATATCATACAACATGACAAGTAATCTTAAGTTAGGACTTCTAAATGTAGGTTCACTAGGTACAGGCCATGAAGAACTAGTAGTAGCTATAGATCGCCACGCTGTCGATTTAATGGCGATTAACGAAACTTGGTTGCATGAGGGTGAGGAAGCGCGCCCGCCCGGTGCCAGGATACCGGTTACGTCACATTCCCCGACCGACCAATGTGCGCTTGCGAGGTGGCGGAGTTAGCTTCTACATACGGCAGGGTCTAGCTGTTAGAACGTTGCCTCATCCTTCAACTCCGCTTGTAGAACAAATGTGGCTTGCTCTAACTATTAACGGTACTAAGATCGCGATTGGTACTGCCTATAGACCACCATGGTTAAACGTAGACACATTTTTCGATTCTTTGTCTGAAACTATCGGGACTCTTGCATGGTGCAATTATATAATATTGTTAGGGGACTTTAATATAAATGTATTGAACACCGCGGATAGTAATTATAAAAAACTTAGAGAATTCTCACAGTGCTACAAACTGAGCCAATGTGTAACTGAACCAACTCATTTCACCGATCATAGTAAAACCTTAATAGATATAGTTTGTACAGACATCCAGCAATACAATATTTTAGTTAATCACATACCCGATCTGAGTAGCCATGCATTTATTTGTTGTGAAATTAATTTCAAAAAGCCCAAACAAAAACCAATTATAATATCACGCAGAGACTTACATTCCATTGATGTCGAACAGTTTCAATTAGATCTAAAGTCGATGAACTGGGAAACCATCAACACCCTGAATGACGTTAATGATATGGTATCTCTTTTTAACACAATGATGTTAACCATATTTGATATTCATGCGCCTCTTTGCACAAAAACTGTAAGACATTTACAATATCCCTGGATCACTTATAATATAAAATAATTATGAAACTCCGGGATGAAGCTGGTTTAGTAGCACGTAAATCTGGTTCAGAGATACATAAGAACTATTATAAGGAACTAAAAAAATACTGTATTGAGGCGCTTCGCAAAGAAAAACAGGCATACTATGACTACTATATCAACAATACTAAAAGAGATCCTAAAGCCATATGGTCACACATAAAAAAAATGTAGGGTTAAAAAGTAAACCAGAACTACCCTATCATATTTTTAATGATCCCAATTTAGTTAATACCAGCTTTTTAAATGTTCCTGGACATGATCAAATACTTACTTCTAACACGTCTTTCTTTGAATCTCATATAAAAGTTTCAAGTAAATTTAAGCTAAAGACAGTACAGGAAATTGATATTTTAAAAATAGTACAGACATTAAAATCAAATGCGGTTGGCGTAGATGGCATATTCCTTAATATGCTCGAAATGTCAATACCCAACACAATATCTGTTATAACAAATATAATTAACAAATCTATAGAAACCCATACATATCCCACAGAATGGCAACACGCTTTGGTCAGACCTATTCCTAAAAACGCAAATCCAACTAACATGAAGGACATCCGCCCGATCAGCATATTGCCCTGTGTGTCAAAGATTTTAGAGAAGGTTGTGGTCGAGCAGCTAAGAAAGTATTTGGAAACAAATGAAATACTCCCTAGTTTACAATCGGGTTTTAGGCAACATTATAGTACAACTACCGCTCTGATTAAAGTAATCGATGATATTCTGTCAGACCAGGACTCTGGAAAAGGCACAATATTAGTTCTACTAGACTTTTCTAGAGCATTTGACTGCTTGAATGTACCATTACTTTTGTCAAAATTGCACTATTATGGTTTCGATGTAACTGCGGTGAAATGGTTTGAGAGCTACTTTAAATATCGCGCACAGCGAGTAGAAATTTCTGACCATAGATGGTTGCCGCTAGTTTCCGATTTCAAGGTTGTGAAACAAGGTGTACCTCAAGGCTCAATTTTAGGACCACTTTTGTTTGCTATGTACTGTGCAGATATGGTAGATCACATCAAACATTGTAGATATCATATGTACGCTGATGACACACAGATTTACATATCATGTAAGCCTGAGGAAACTCAATCAGCAATAAACAAATTAAACAAAGATTTAGAAGGCATTGATGATTGGTCAAAATCGAATGCTCTTGTTTTAAACGGAAATAAGTCAAAGTATATGATTCTAGGAACGGCTAAGCAAATTCAAAACATTGCGAATCAACGGCTTCATGTCACCATAAAAGGGGAACAAATTGAACGTGTGACTGAAACTCGCAATTTAGGTCTGCTTATGGATGATCGTTTGCGCTTCGAGAATCACATACTTAATACTGCTAGAAATTGCTTCTACGGACTTAAAGTCCTGTATCAAATTAGAAATTTCCTGAACACAGATATTTGAATAAGGCTCTGTGACTCATTAATTCTTTCTAAATTTAATTACATGGATGTAGTTTATGGTCCTCGTCTATTAATACGTAGTCAAAAACTCATTCAGCGAGTTCAAAATGCTTGTGCAAGATTTTGCTTCGGGATACCGCCACGCACTCACGTTACGCCGTACATCAACGAAGGCAACATTTTAAAAATGAAATATCGTCGTCACTTTCATTTAGCAACACTACTGTTTGGTATAATAAAATATAATATGCCACCTTATCTCTTCCAAAAGTTGGTATGGTCGCGCGACGTAAATTCAAAAATAACTCGTGCGTCGACTTATTCTCTCGCTGTGCCATTCCATCGCACCGCTGCTTTTCATGGGAGCTTTAGGTACGCTGCCTCAAAGTGTTGGAACGACCTGCCGCCACCACTTCGTAGCCTGAAAACTATTAAAACCTTTAAAGAAAAATATAAAAACTATCTAATATCAACTCAGAAGAACATAGGCTGAAGCGTACTACTCACCAAAATGGGTACTGGCACATAGCACAGGCGGACAAGGTCGCAACTAATAAAGTTGAGTGATGATAATATAACCTTAAATTGGATACTGTTCGGATAGTTCCACTGACCGTAGGCTAAAAAAAAGTGTAATTTAGTGTCGTCAATCAATAACTGAGGTAATTTATGTATAAGTTTTAGAAATAAGTGTTAAAATATATATATTAATATAAGAAAACAAATACAACGTAATAATAACTTTTGAAATAATGTAACATATTAATAAAGTTAAGAGCACACTGGTAACAAAATTTTTGAAAATAAAAATAAAGTGCATGTATAATAAGCACATGTACATACCTTTGTTTGGTTTGAAATCAATAATTTCAGCATAGTTAGACGGATTGGTTTTAGAATATTATTATGTATCACTCGCGGACGTCCGTACGTTATTATCCGTTCGGGCCCACTGAAAACCAGCGCTGTTGCTCCGGCGACAGCATAAGCTGAGTGAGGTCCGTTTGTATGACGCGCCACAACATACTCGTACAATATGAGAAACGATTCTTTTTTTTTTAAATTATAATCTATAAGTATTAATACTTTTAAATTGTTTTATCCGTCAAATTGTTGTTTTGTTTCCTATTTTTGTTTTTGTTTGTTATAATGTTTATAATTGATGTGTCAAAATTTAAGTGCCTACTGATGTTTGTAGCGTGCTGCAATAAATCTTTCTTTCTTTCTTTCTTTCTTTCTGATATGCTTCGGGTTTAGTTTTAATTACACAACTTTCTTCTATTTTAAAATTAGGATGTTTTTTAATTTCAATAGCCTTACGTATCATCTAGAAAGAATAGATGTTCTTTCGCGAGGATTTGTGGTCTATCAAATCTTATTAAAAGCCCACTGCTGAAAACAAGCTTCTCTATAGATTACCTTATAAGGGGGATATTTGTCGTAGTTGCCATGCTCAACAGGTAGGTGAATACCATAGGTAATTATTGTTATCCTCAACTGCCATGAAAATATAAACTTATATAGTTGAATGTGTATAAAAATAGAATCTGGTTCTAGAATATAAAAATAGATCTATAAAAACCCGCGTAAAAGAACATATAGTTGA